ATGATATATTGTTTTAATTTTAATTTTAGATACGTCCAATCTAGATGTTGCATATGGGACGCAAACTGGCAGTTGAGAAGATGCTTTATTCGTGCCTGCTGACGATTGAGTTTAGAAGACTGTTTGTGTTTCGAATACAATTCGCGGGAATAATAATAGGTGCGTTGATGTTACAGGCGGCTGGAAGCCACGCGAGCGTACGAAACGTAGGTAATGAAATATGGTCGTGGAGTGCGCACGCGCATGTTGCAAATTATGTCATCAAGCGGGCGGACGCGGTGCTCTACTCTTCCAAATGTCGTTGCCAGCCCTCCTCTTATTGCTTGGCTCGGTGCCCCACTATTAAATTAAACGTATGCAATACAGCCCTGTGCGAACAGTCCGCAGTTTCGCTACAAAACCATCGGTCAACCGATATTACCTAGTTTTGTATTCGGTGTCGTAAGAAAAGTTTGAAGAAAAATTATTTGTTTTTAGGCACGATTTTGTATTCCGAGTATTTGTTTTTCTTTTAACAGTTAGGATGCGTGAGTTATTACTATGTAATAAGTAAGACATGTAACAGGTTTTTTTTATAAAAGTAAGAATGAGGAACAAATCAGAGATCATAACAAAATCTTTAAATATTTGAAACTCCGCCCTTGTAAGTACTATAATAAAATAAAAGACCATTAAAATGTAAAAGTTATTGTATGAAAAATCACGAATCATTTTTATTAACTGGTAACACCATATTCACTATGCGTAATATATGTATGTTGTATATACACTGCGTTGGATTAGAAATAATATCTTCAACAAAATTATTTATTCAAAAAGGAAAAGAACATGCACTTTCAATTTCAACAGCAGTCAAAATAAAACTCGCAACAAAGTAAACGAAGTAGCTATAGGGCATTTAAGAAAACACGTTTTTCATTACGGAGAGGGCGTACACGTTTAAGAGCAATAAAGTTAAATATCTATTTGCGGCTCGCAACACACCGGTGGAATAATGGATGGTGTTCTAAAGGGAACCCGAAGATTGGCCGATTGGGAGCCGAGGGAGCTTCGCATTAACAGTATCGCGTTCTTGGTCCAATAATCGCGACGTGGAAATATCGAGGACGCTAATATCTTGTACACATTTACATAACACGCAATAAATCTCGCGAGTGCGCGGGCGCGGCCGACGGCGCCGTTGATAAATCCCCATTTGAACCTTTTCGATGGTCTATTTCGGCGCGACGCTGTCGACTCAATCACGCGACGCTGTTGTGTTCCTCGGACCCTTCTGCTGCAAATAAATTGTATCACCCCTTTGGTGGAACCCTGCTGGTAGAAATAAACCGTATCACCCCTTTGATGGAACCCTGCTGGTGCAAATAAAGCGATACTGCTGTCCTGACTTCTTGTACTTATGGTACAAGAAGTCTGTCTATCTGCTTACTGCGCGAACTACGCATATTTTTAAGTGAGCGCAATTGCCGTACCACGCGATGCGTACGGCTCTAACACGGCATAGGACTGTGTGATTCTATACAGTCTCGGGACTGAACACACGAAGAGATCATCACAAGACTGTGTTATTGACAAATAGTTGTGCCAGGTCATTTATACAATTTGGTTATATTTAGCGTTCGTAATTTCCAGATTATATCCTAATGCAGGGGTCGTTTTAAAAATATTATAACAATAAAACAACGACGACGTTGAAGGTAATTTTTTGTTTCGATTTTGATTGAAACAATAAGTCAGATTCTTGATCATACTTACGTATACAATTTAACTAGCTGGATATAAGTAGCAGAGTATGAATGTATGTGAACAACCATCACATACATTCATACTCTGCTCGATCTGTCTCGCGTGGTAGAATCTGATCTGGAACAACACTACATAAATTCTGGACATATGACATCGTCTAGTAAAAACCAGTAGACGTCAGCGCGGATAAAATTCGCAACATGATTGTCATTTTAGGGGTTATGGGTGATTTATTGCACTTATGAATAAGAATGTGTAGGTAACAAAGTTTAATGAAGATGAATAAAAAATACGAACTGTTAACGGGGTGATATGAAAATTAATGGTGCGTACATAAATATTAGATCGTTATATGCATAAAGGATGAATAAATAGATTTAGTAATAATATCTGTTTTAAATGTTGATTAATGATATTTAAATTGTAAGAAAATATTGAAATTTAACCGTACTTTAGAGCTAGACAAGGTATTATGAAGTAAAAGGATCCAGCACTCTAAGCTATAAACGGTTTAATGTAATGAATTTCAAAAAAAACGTGAACATTTCAAAGCTTATAATATTAATAAAATTTATAAGTTTTTAAATATTCTATGACAGCCACAAATGAAACTCGAAGTTAAATCATTAAACAATAATTAGTCGCGTATTACACAATTACCATTCCGTAACACAATGCTCATTTCATCGTTCAACTTGTAAAGTAATATAAACGTAGAAGTAACAATGAAGTAAGAATTATAATACTTCGGTCAAGTCGTCGCATAAGTTCTGGTCCATTCCAGCCACAATTATCCCGCGCGATGTGAAACCGGTAATAATTTCAAAAATATCGCCCAACAAATGATGCCATAAATTAAAATTAATAATACTCACGCCCAACGCAACCGCATCATGTGCGGAAAGCTAATTGAATATTAATTTTATAATAAATCTGGCGGAGTCAGTCTCTACACACGCTCTTTAATTTATAACTTGTTCATAAGCGATAAATACAAATTATAATAGTATTTAATTACAGCAGTATTTGCCTTTTCAAAAGTTGAACATTCTCTGTGTATCGTTTAAATTTATATGTTTTGCTTTCCGCAAAGTAAGGTTATTGGTTTTAAGGACACAAAATAAAAATCGCTTAAATCTGCAAAAGCTTTCGGCGCATTAAATTATTAAATGCTCGGTCGCCGTACAATTTGACAATGCACGGCATATTGAAACACATCAGCTAACATCGCGAGACGCGGCCGTTATGGCGAGCGTAACAGACGTCTTCCGTTGCAAGTAATTTATTACTTTTATCTCGGGCACGGCGTGGTCACCGCGCACAAACAAACGAGGTCCCAGACAATGAGACAAATCGACCGATTACCGAACACTACCTGCCCGTGGTAGGCCGGCCCTGTGCATGTAAATTGCAAGCTTTTTTCTATGCAGCTCACATTAATACTTTCCTTTGCGAACAGTAAAAGTGGGACCACTTTCTTTGACGTCCATTAGTATATTAATTGCTGTGCCATTATGAAGAATGCCCTTTCGATTTTCTGGTTGTAGGACAATGGGAAACGTTCGGAAGAGATCTGTTTCAATGTCAGTTGACCTTGACGCTTGAGGCACGCAGTCATGGGGTTTGCAACATTTGGTACGTTTCGCACAGACTCATGATTTATCGTCTGTGCGAAACGCTTTGTTGCTCCGATGTTTGAAACCGCTTTGTTTTTAAAACACCACTTGTTGTGCGGGATTTATAACCGGTGTGGGTTAAAAGCCGCGCGAGCACATTCCAAGAACCCAGAGGGAGATAATGAACGCATTATCGCATCATTGTCCACAAAGGAAGGTACTCCGAGAAGTTACCGACGATCGAGATCCCGATGCTTTGTGGTCAACCACGAATAAATAAATGACTTATTTACGCATAAAATTACCACATTAAACTACAACTTTGGCTATTAATTACAATACTCTTTAACTCGGAACCGAGTAGACCGTTTCGCGTGGTACACGACACCGGGCGCGTATCATAAATCCGAACGGAACGGTTACGTCGATGTGTCAGCGGGTCGGTGAAGGAACCGGTATCGTTTATTAATTTCAAGCATTAATCTAAGACTAGATAAAGGCCACTACACGGGCAGCCGGTGCCCCGCCGAAAGAAATCTCCATACAAAACATTACTCGGCCGTGTTGAGCGATTTATGCGACGGCCGAACGCCTGAGGAGAACTGCGCTCCTTATTGTATATTATTGTAGTGACACCGACTAATTTGTTAGCCGAATGATGAGTAGGGATGTACTGAATTAAAGGAAAATCGACGATCCCATTCCCATTTGTAAAAGAGTAACGTCTGTTATACACTTCATGATAAATTTAGTTCGGATATTCAGTCATCTGTTTTTAGGGTATGAATTATTTTTGAAAAAAGTTAAAGGAACAGTCCCAATGAGGTAGACAAAGTGCATACTGTAGAACAATTAATTTACTTTATATAAAAATATAATTTGATTCAAATTTATTGCATCTTTTTGTTCTGTCTACAATGCAATATGACTTGAAACATCCACAATATATTCATAATTTTGAATCACTGCGAATAATACCCACATTGGTGACGTTAGTTAAAGTTAGAAGAGTCTGGACTGGCTCAATCGACGGTGATTAAAATATTATGACAATACTTCGTATTGCACTGGGCAACAAGCATCTCGAATACTGGACCATATATCATATCCACTATTAACTCGGCGTTACTGGAAATCGCTTTCGATCAATACAGACTTTTCATCTTAGCGGGTAGATTTATTTAATCCGCCATCTTACATGAGTCGCGCCGGCGCTGTCACAAACACTGACAGCAGTTGCGCACGCGCGTCTCCCTTTTAGTTTTGGACAGTGCTAACGTGAAATTATCGTATATTTATTGAAACTCCGACGTTTGAACAACACGGACATGGTATTTTTAAAATTAGAACATGAACAGGAAGCGATTTTTTTTTCGGTTTTTATTGTACGCGGTTATGGAAATAGCAGATAATAATAGTCAAAATGAAATATATTATTAAGTATTTTTGCTATAACATTAAACTATATCAAAAGGAGTGTCATGAAAAATGCTGTGGTAAAAGCCAGGTAGATGCTATACTTGATTGCTCTACGGTCTCACAGGAGTGGTTGGCTTTAACTAGAAGTATTTTTATTTTAGTATTTCGTCTGTAGACTGAGTTTAACGGAACTCAGTCCCAGCATCTTTAACCCAGCTACAATGTTTTTTCTGGATGTCTGATGTAGCTTGACATCCGGTGAACGACCTGCTTCTTTAACACCTTCTGCCTAAAACGCAATCGGTATCGGTGGCACGTATAAATTTCGAAGATCCCAGCTGCGCACGCGAGCTCGGCGGGAAATCGGTTCTTTCCCAGCGTCGGCGGCGTGATAAGAAACGAGTGGCTCGCGAGCGCTCCGGACATTTCAAAACAAACCGACCGCTCCAGTTCGTGCTTCGGTATTTGGACGTGTTGGGCGCGCGGCCGCCCGCCCTCTTTGAACGTGTTTTGACTAGCTAAATCGGTGTGTAAACCACCGCACTTATTAATATACTCCGCTCCCGTAATTATTAGGTATCCGTTAGTATCGCCCGCGGAGGGAGATCTTTGTTAGGATCCATTAACTTACACGTGTCCCATATATCCGAAATATCGAATCGCTTCGAGAAACACTTCGATGGAAACATAAGACAAAAGCACATAGCCTGCATGACTGTGCACAAAAGCATTAACTACATACATTTATAGATACTGTACTTCTGCGCAACGTTATTAAATCATTTTGTTGCAACGCGAAACATTATTTTCAAGGCAACTTGCACTCTTGGCAGAATTTAGTTTGGCGGGAGCACTGAAACTACACTGCAAAAAAAAGAGCGATTCTCTTTTTAAACGAGCTGATTAAATAGAAATGTCAATAAAATTTCCCGCGTAAATAGAAATGTCCTAAATATTTTCAAGCAGTTTATATGGGTTTATAAACCACATGAAAATAGAGGCTGTAAAGTTTATGTAGTAAAAACTTACGCAAAAAACTGCACTAAACAAATCATGTTAGTGTGATATGCTAACATTCTAACGTGGAGCACTACGGGTGAGTTGCGGGTTCAAATCGAGTACTGGTCCAAACTGGTTCTCGGCTGGGCCAGCCTCCATAGGCCGTCTGCCTGCAACGCTGCACTGCGGCACCCGGTAGGTATCGCATGCATGAGTTTGCACGTGCGCCGACCACGCCCAGTCCGGCTGATAATAATTATCCAATTACAGAATGACAACCTATCGCCGCCATTTTAATTGGTTAGCGTCGTTTCGCCTCTCGCTATGAACGCATCGATCCATAAATCTGTCGCAGCACGGCAGTGTTGCGTCGCCCGATTTATGTATTTGCGACGCTGAATATTAAGTATAAATGTTATTTTCACATCGTTGAAGCGTTCGGATCATTAATTGCAATAGTCGCGGATGCTTTGCGCAATTATATATCGTAGTCGGACTATGATCTTATAAGCCAATGTAAGAGTTTTTATATTCCTTCATTTCTGATCCAGCGTTATCGTCAAAGAAAAAATTATATGTTAATAAAGTTGTTTTAAGGAAAATTCAACGATAATATCAACAATATCTGAAACTGTTTTTATTTCTTATATTACATTGTTGGGAAGATAATATGGTGACCTAATCAATCTCTTTTATAACATGAAATTGAGCAAGTGAAAAATAATTTCATTAGAGTAGTATCTACTGTAGCCTAGTTCAATTGAAATCTTAATTAAATATCAAAAGGTATTTAACACTAGTTGTAGAATTTAACTCACAACAACATGGGCCTCGTCCACTACTGAACGTAGACTTCCCCCAAAGTGTGCCAACTATCCCGATTTTGGACAGCCCGCATCCATCCGCTGGCCACCATCTTTCTTAAGTCGTCAGTCCACCGTGCTGATGAAGACCGTCCCACTACGTTTACCTAATCGTGGTGATCACTATATCACGTATCGGCTCCAGCGAACATCAATCAGTACGTGTGGAAACATGGCCAGCCCACTTCTACTTCAGCATACCAATTCTGCGCGCAATGTTGGTAACTTTAGTTCTGTGGCAAGTGACTTCGTTTCTAATCTTGTATATAACTCACTAATTGTTAGATTATTCTATAGCATGTTAGCATATCGCTACTAAGTTGACAATTCTTCTTATAATAATACTATATAGTGGACTAAATTATTTTCACCACGTATACCAGAGAAAATTAGATAACACATGGAAATATGAAAAAATTATACTTTTATATTTAATAACGGTTGAAAGGTTTTTTTTTTTACTTTTGGTTAATTGAAAATTTATTTAGACATAGGTCATTTAAATTAAACATAGGACATTTAAACAATTTAACAGTTACTTTCGATAGTAATAGGTACTAAATATGAGCGTGTATAATTAAGTAATTAAACCTTATTTTATAATTTTAAGACTTGATAAGTTAGCATGTACCAAAAAAAAACATTGAATTTCATTTCAACACAATTTTTAAAAACGTATATTATTAGCAAGGGCTCTTTAACTAAAAGCAAAGCAAATGTAAAAGATTTCCCGATGCAACTATCTATCTTCGTATTTTGTTTTATTACACTTGCAATTGCAGCCGCAACATTTGACTCGGAGGATTTTATTTAATAAACAAAACTAAGAGTCTGTATCTATTCGTTCAACAACGAACGCATTCGCCGTTGGACTTTTAAAGATAATTCCTCGCGTCGATTAATCAAACCATCAATCTGCTATTGGCGTTCTAATTGCACATTGTTTATTGCGCTTTAAAAGCCCGGGGAAACGGATACGCAACAATATTTTTTCTATATAACCATTAATAACTGTCGGGGTTTCCTTGGTGAGCGTTTCGCCCTGCGCGGGGCAGGGGTAGTTCCGAACGCGACTTTGTATGACGATTTCGTCTATAATTGTGGATTAATAATCGTCGTTTGATCGGATTCCGTTGTATCGCCGTTCGACTTTCAATTTTAATGAACCATGTCAACGCGTCTTTTTGTGCGGTATTTTAGGCGGTCGAGTTCTATCACCTTTTAAATTTAAATTATTGCCTGGATTTGCTTGTTAAGTATTTTAAAATTTTCAGTAAGAAATTTTTTAATGAACTTTTCATTGAAACAGACATTTTCTTTGCTGTTTTACTCATCATCGAATAAATTTGTGACTCATCTTGAGGACAATATTTAAAAAAATGAATGACTTAAATTTCTAAGCATTTTAGAAGTCTTATATGATAGGGTAACAACAAACTATAATCCTACGATGCTATGGCGACTCCAAACATTACTTATAAACCTTCTCCGCACAATTCCTATAACGGGAAAACTCCACACGTCAGTCAACGTGCACAATTCAGTGAACAGTAAGTTATTGATCAGGCGTTGTTCAAGAATTAATGAAGTCGGCACGTCGACCCCTGTCACTGCTGACGCCTGGGCCTGTCCTGCCCAGCTCCTGGCTTCACCGTAACATCACTGACCTTCCGTCGAAATGTCTATACAGGACGTGGGTCTTTCGCAATGAGGCCACTCGCTTTTCATCCGTTTAGACAGTTAAGCTCATACATATACATGTACTAGCAAGCAAACTACGCCTCACGAACAACTGTTTCTTTAAAGAAATGTAGGAATGATTTTGCTGAGGTGAGGAACGACTTTAATTGAAATTTGAAAAAAGAAAGTAGGTATATCTTTATACAAAATAAATTGATCTATTGTGAATGTGATGTGGCGGAGGAAAGGAAATAGTTCAATAAGAACGCAAAGCGAAACATTTTAATATATAGGGAGAATTGATTGGACTATAGGTAATAAATACTAATAAAAGTTGTTATAATCGTTTATAACTTCGATATTATGAAACGCCACTACATAAGTATATAGCTCATTATAAGATACTAATAAATAAATAAAAGAAGCATAATTAAAAATAATAGAAGAGAAATAATATTTGGGCGCATAATTTTATGCTAACACAATTTTTTTGACATTCATTGAAACAAGATTAAATCAAATAAAACGTGAATAAATTTGAAAAGGTATTATAACCTTGAATTTAAAACACAGCTCGAAAGTGTGGATAGCAGATGATCATATACTGTTGCATAGGTTCATAGTCCGTGTGTGTTCACAGAGTAATTGTTGCTTACTACTTTCTTCTTCTTTCCATCTTCTTCCATCTTCTATGAGGCTCTGTAACTACTCTACTTTGAGTATAATTCTATAGTCTTAAGCCAGTTGAGCAGGCTTATACATACCACATCTTTTCTAATGACGATCGATTCAAAAAAATTATCCGAGTACTCAATCAATCGCTAATAGCATCCTAAGCATATCGTAATACCAAAAAAGAACATTTTAGGGGGTATTTGGTTGAAATAGATAGTAAAACATAATTATCAGGTCAGGTCTGGCATATTTAAGCACATTTACATAAATAAATGTAATAATGGATGATTATATACCACTTCGGCAAAACGACCAGAACGTTTAAAAGTTGGGTGCTCTTTTATTTTTCGATTTCCAAATCGAATGCCTGCTATCGCCCTACGCCCCAATGTGGACGTTAATATTAATCGGTAAAGAGCTAATTTGCAATGACAATCCGCAAGATACGTCCTTCCTATTCCGCGATAAGCCCCAGTTGCTCGTGGTTGAGGCACTGAAGCTGTCTTTAGACTATTTAAATTCCAGTTCGGTTCGTTGCTTCGCTGTTTTATACGTAGCTGTTAATTCTAGCGAATTTGTGTTGGGTAACTATCGATCTTATGTAGTAGATTGCCAGGAACTTAGTAGAGTTTAAAGCTTTCAGCTAACGAAGATTGGGAATTTAAAATTGTATGCAAAAGAGTTTTACGTAGAAAAATGATCGTAAAATATTTCAACCATTGCGAATAATCGATCTATAATTTTATGGCTATTTAAATAAAGATTTTAAATGGGTTAAGAACAATTAAGGTGTTTATTTCTTTATTTATTCAACTTTGATACAACAATTATTTTACCGTATACTCGTACTGTGTTTCATAAAATTTCCTCAATATTATCTTACTTTTGTTACTACGTATATCCAAGACAAGCAAGAATTATTTATGGATTATAGAAAAGAAAACTCAACGATATATATTCAAAATTGATATTCGAACCGATTGAAATAAGACGGGAGAGCTACATCGAGGCAGACAGGAACGTTCAATGTAAATTTAATTACATTAAAATATAAAACAGACGCATCGCGATCGCGGACAGATGTTTTGACAGCTCCCAATATTAATTGTGACGTTGCGCTGTCGTTAGGGCATCGCCCAGAACGCTCTTCCGCTTCCACGTCATTAATAAAATGAGCAATAGTCGAAATATTTATCAATGGCATAATCGATACAGAAACAATTATAACCGCATCCATCAAAATTCCCGGCTCCGCTACAATTGTGAGGCGTTCGAATTCTTCGATAGTCTCGTTCGACTTTCGACTTTAATCGGTTTTATTACGATTCAGTGTCTGTTACGAGAAAATTCGGCGACTCTTCGAGTAATAAATGATCTTGTTGCCCGGTTATAAAGTGTATTATTTAATGCAGTGTCATTGCAACGTGAGTACAACGAGGTATCCAGAAACATTAACATTCTTATCTCTGGTCTGTCACACAGCGAGAACGTCAAAGTTCGAAGTGAAGAACGCATTATAATTAATAGTCGATGATATGCGTGGATCGTAAACAAAAGCTTTGATAAATGGATTAAAGTCTGATACCAGATAATAGGCGCTGTGGGTTGTAAATCGTGGTTTTGAAAGCAAGGCGACCAACGGCTAGCATTGTTTTTTCATAACTGACTTTCTAGTATTTAAAATTGTTAATGTATACGCATAGCACCTTCTATGCTTGGAAATTAATTTAAACTTTTCATTATAAATAACACGTTCAACATTTTAACGCTTGTGTTTGTTCACGGCACAATAGAAATATAGAGTAAAAATTTTTTGACCACTAGGTTCTTTGCCACAGCCATTATTTGGCGTACTATACGTACTTGTATTAGTACTAAAATTATTATCGCTCGAGTTTCACTTTTTCTTTTTGTCACAATCAAGTTTAGTATCTCATTAGTAATGCGACAAAAGTCTGTTAATAAAAAGAATGGCATCATAAACCATTCGTAATTAAAATGACTTTTTAAAGCAGATTTATTATAATGTACATTTTTGTTAATATATCAAGTAATAATTAAAATAAAATGTTTTAATTATGTCACCGGATACTCAAAAGGTTACTTAGGGTTACTTGAATTATTTTAGTGTGATATAGGTTCGGCCCTTGCTGTTGCACGAATGGGCAGGCTCATCCGGGGAAGTACCTTGACCTAACAAAAGACAGCGTGAAGTGGAAATATCATAACATTCGCATTTCATCTGGTGACAAGCAGGGCGCACTTTTCTAAAGGTTGTCAACGCATCTGCAAGACCGCAGGTGCAATAAATATCCATGGGCAGGGTTATCATTTAAAACTACGTGAACCGCCTATTCGCTTGACAACTTTTAACGTAAAAAAATGCAAAAAGCTTAAGAAACATTAGTTATCAAATATAATATGTACATATGTACATGAGTATCAAATGAGGTAAACATGAGAATCAAATCTGGCCTTTCATATTTTCTGGTTGAATTTTGAAAGAGTCATTCGTAGCAAGAACCCTCGCTTGCATAGACAATGATTATAGAATCACGCGACGCTATAATGGATTGATGGCTCTAAACTTATGAACTTTACGACTGTTATACGATTGCGTATCATCCGTCACGACATCATAGTTGTTACATAGCGCCATTAGAAGTCGATTTTCTATCGCTTTGTTATTGATTGCGTACGACAATAATTCGTGGTTCACCGTTGATTGAGTGTGAGAATTGGGCTGGTCGTATTAATAACTGTAGCTTAACTATCGCCTTTCACTGGCGTTCGAATTTTAAACGCTCTGAGCGATCTATCATAAAGGCTCTTCACGGGTGATAGGAATGACAGCTGTTCCAAATTCGAAATGGCTACGTATTTTGGATTTTGTTATCAAAAACAGTATTTCCAATAATTTCAAATGCTTATTAAATGAAACTATTTTACGATTACATCGCGTTTATTTTTGATTATTGTCAACTCTAATATTATAGTCAAATAGCCGATTTTATACGTCTTCGATTATGTTGGTATTTCATAGACATGTAAATTTCCTTGCAATAAAATTAATTTGCTTAATATTAATATAAGAACTGTAGTGTCTAATACTCAACCTTCATATTTTATTATTATGTCTTACTATTCAGATCAACAGACTTATAAACAGCTTTGAAGTGTCGGCTGTAATAAAATCACTAATTGTTACCAAAAGTTGAGTTCAGGACAAAAAAATCTTGAAATTTTAGCACCATGAGTTGTTTAAAATGTAAGACTCAAGATCTTGCGTTCCATGCGTACAATCATAAATGAATTATGTACTGATGTAATCTTTTATATAGGGAATATAAAAGGACTAAGAGACTCGGGCTCGATGCGGAAAGATGGAGCGAGTTACGAAAATTTATTAAGCCCTGTTCCACTGCCGTCTTTTATTATTGCACTAGTATTGTAGTAAATAAACTACATTATCTACTTGTGCTTAAAACGAATTAACAATTTAATTTATGTCGGTATCGAGATTTCTACTTTGATAAACAAAGTCTCACCACGCATGTAACGTATACATTCATAGATATTGTTAAATACTTAATAGTGACTAGTATTTTCAAGGACTATTGTATACTTTAATCGCTTTAAATGTAAGAAACATTTACGAAGTCACGTCAAGACGTTGTGAGGCTACCATTATTGTACCTGTAATGTAAATAGGTGTATTGGTATTAAGAATAATACTTCTACGAGCTCCATAGAATCTTAACACCCGGTTTGAAGCAGGTGCAATAAAAACAAAAAAGGCATTCATTTACTATACAACAACTTAAAACTAGAAGATTTTAAAAAGACGTGTATGATGTATTATTCACGACCACTTCCAGCTAATACACTCGTCAGTTCAGTATTCGAATGTATCGCTAGACGAGATTGAAGAAGTATGGACAACTTCAAATTGCAAATATTGGTTTGTACCTAATACATTAGTGTAGTAATTAGAAGATACATAAAGATTAAAGATCCACGATTAAACAATGGAGGTGAATGTTGAAGTTTTTAGAACTTTTAATAATACGGTTAACATTTTGGCTTGATATCGCTCTCTTAGAAAGTATATCTATTAGGAATAGTTGTTCTAAAGGTGTGATTTTTGCAGTAGAGTTATTTTGCGCATTTAGAATTGATATTTACTGTACTTTATATTTTCCTTATTGAGAAAAAAAGAAAGAAAAGGATTGTGGTTAATAGAAGCGATAAGTAATCTTATATAGAGTATGTGTATACAGAAATAAAAATAAACAACTTCAATGCAATTAAAATAAAAAAATTAGGCCATCTGCCATAGTGAGGTTTATTTCAAGTTCGATCCCGCAAGGAGGAAAAGCCGCCATAAATCGTTGCACCGGGATTATTTTTCGCATTTTTGTGACTTCATGTGTATAAGAAAACTACAAGCGACATAGCTTTTGTTTTCTAGTGCGTTAAAAAGACATTAAATAGAAAATAATGAGGAATGGATATCTCTAAATCTCGATTTATACCCTATAAGCGGTTAAGCAAACAACATCACTTACCTTCTAATGATTTCGCTCAAGAAGATAATATATGTATTATATGGTTGCACCTCTCATATTTATTACGTGCTAAACGAAGTATTTATTGAGAATACCTACGGTCGTAACTCGCGACCGAAACCACCTCGACACGTGTGGCTCCGGAATCAAATTAAAATCATGTTTGATAAGATCGAGTGGCAGTTATGGGAATTTATGACTATATTACCTGCGCGGGCGCATCGCGACCGACAAAAAGCAGGTCCGCACTACGCAATTATTTATGGGGCCCGCAAATGATTATAGTTTACGATCACCGGAGCGGGATACGCCCCTGGCTTGCGTGGCGGCATTCGTCCTAATTGAATCGAGAAACAAGCCGAGCTCAATGTATTCTGGACACAGTTCCGGCGTCCAAACAATGTGTACATGTGTTTCCGTGCTATTCAAAACGTGGCATGTAG